ATATTAATTATTAAAGAATTAATTTCTATCTAATAAAAGATATTTAAAAAAATATTAAAAAAACATGCTTATAGTTTTATCTATTAAATCAAAAAAAAGATCAGACTAGCAATGCATGCAAGTTTTTTTGTAAGCTAGCTAATTACCTCTTCAATAATGTACCATATAAATATTAAGAGATAAGAGAATTAAATTGTCTAATAGATTTGTTAAATACAAAAATTCAACATTTTTGCACTTGTGACTAAATTTAAATAATTTTAACTATATAAGACTATGCAATATATATAATATAAAGCATTAGATCTATTCTTCATAATTATAGTTTTTGACTCAGTTTCATTTTTATTCCAAATATATCTTTGTAAATATTATTAAACAAAAATAAATTTTTCTTAAAAATTAACTTTTATATATTTAAAAATATATAAAGAAAACTTATAATTAGCAAAAATGATATAACAAACTAAAAATTAATTTATTATTAACTAGTAACTATTATACAATTATTTTGTAAATAAAGTACTAACCAGACCAATTAGCAACAATAGGAATTAAATAGTTAGAAAGATATTCTTATATAATCTTCTAATCATATACAAATTTAAGAGCATTCATATATCTCCTTATGTTTTTTAACTTAATTTCTACAAAATTAAAGAGAATAACATCTTATATATAATAATTGTTTTTTTTCTCTGTTAATATATTATTATAACTGTGTATAATTAACCTATTTATAAGTTTATCTTCAGAATACTCTTTTTTATTATATTTTTAATAATAATAAGAAATTTTAAAGTTTATTATAAATCTTCTTTTGATAAAAAACTATTTTTGTGTTTTAATTAAAAAAATTTCTTAAATAAATTTACTTATATTTTTTTAACTTTAAACTTTAATGTAATTACTAATTTTATTCTTTCTGATAATCTGCTGCACTAATTTTTTCATACATACTAACTTATGAAAATTATATAATTAGTATGTTTATACATAACAAAACTTTACTATATAGCATCTGAATTCAAGAGTTTTAGATTATATGTGGATTATATGAAAAAGAGTTAAAAAAGACAGCTTCTTGTGAATTTGGCTCTCTAGTAGAAGTCTATGAAGTTATTAAAAAAATAACTTTGGCTACAACCAAAGAAGTTTTTATCAAGCTATATTTAAGCAGCAGCAAAGATAGAAGCCTAATTGGATATGCCATTCTGTATAATATAAACTCCTACACTCATTACAGTTGGTACTCTAAAAAATTCCTTTTCTACTTTTTTCTAAGAAATTTTTATTGAAAAATGGCCAATCTAGCTTATCTCTATTGAAATCAGAATTGTTAATCCTTCCAAATCAGAATTCTTTATTAGTTCTATTCAAAAAGGGCTTATGTTGCAGATAAAGCATAAGTATATATGTCTTGGAAAAACATAACAATAAGATGAGATTAGAAATTTTTAGCAAAAAATAAGATGATTGGTCAAAAATATGACAAGTATTGAAATATAAGATCTGGTAAAAACTATGATGAGTTGTACAGAAAGATAGATCCAATGACAAGGATTAAGGTGTCCAGCACATGGAAAATTCTTTACCAGTTCAGTTTTGGTTAAATTGTTTTCCTTAAAATATATGTTTTAATATTAAATATATTAATTAGATAGATTTAAAGTAGAGATTACTGTATTTAGTAATATATAATTTTTAGTAGGTTGATACAACCTTTATAATTAGTAACTGTTTGTCTGGCTTTTATCAGCAATTCTCTTTCTTTTCATTTCTTGATATTTGTTTCTTTTTACATTTTTCTTCTATACATATTTTTTTAATGCATTCTCTCTTAACAAGAAATTTTTTTTTGGTTTTTTATCTCTCTACAAACAAATAATATCAGATTGGTGCTGTTCAATTGTAAAGTAGCAGACAGATGAGCTTGATCCAGACTTTAGCAGGTCTGGTGTGACAGGTCACTCATAGGTGCCAATTAGAGTAATTACATGATGATGGCACATGAAGTTAGATATAGTTCTATTTGTATATTATTTGTACTAAACATTTATAAATAAACTTTTAACTGATTGACCATTGTAGCTGTCAAAGGTAAAAAAAAAAAATAAAAATAAATAAAATTTCTTTTTAAGTATCTTACAACAGTTCATTATTAATAATCTTGAAATTAATTACTCTATTACAAGATATGATTAGTATTTAGCATAGATTTACTAAAATCATTACAATGTATATTGATTAAGATATATTAGTAGTATCAGGCTGCTTTGGAACATAGATATTATAATAAGTATTAATATTTAGTATAAATATAAAAGGGTTTACTAAATATTTTAAAAAACTTCACTCTAAATATTTATTATGTACATTAATGCTCTTCTTTTTTTATAATTTACTAATTACAACATTATATTTATACTAAGATTAACTAGTATATTTAGATTATTATTGCTTGTACTTGCTGAATCTAAGTAATTTACTATTGAACTTAAGTATATTAATTTTTGAAATGCTTAATAAAGCAAAAAGATAACAAATAAACAATATTAATTTTTTTATATAGTTCATTGTCTATGCATTATGTTCAAGTAATTGAATTGCTAAATAAAGTTAATTAAAAAAATCCTTTAAACTAGAATAAATTTTTTGAATAACTGCTTGCATTTTATCAAATAAATATAAAAGTTCTTTGTATCCTAAATTCTTCTTTTTATATAAATTTTTGTTAGCATTTTTATAGCTTCAACAAGATCAATCTTTATTCTAAATTTTTTTTAAAATAAATCTTCTTTCTTAATAACTTTTTCTTCCTTAAAACCTTAATTTAAAAAGTTTTGTATAAGACTTATATAACAAATATTATATAAATTATTCTCTTCTTTTCAGTCTTTCTTCACCAGATCATTTTCTTTAATCTCTATCCACTTTTCATCTTTTAAAAGATGAAATTTTTTATTTAGTGGCTTGGCATTTTATGCATTTCTTGGTTTCAGACATGGTTTTACTAGGTAAATCGTACTATTAAAGTTTGTGGATTAAAATGGATTAAAAAAATATGTTATAGTGCAGTGTGAAAGCTTCAAGTTTACTTAGTGAAAGCGATTACTTTTACTAGTCACGAGAGGTTACGTAGCTTTTCAAAAAAGTACTGTAAATGTGTATAAAAAATTTTTTAATGAATTGTGTAACTGATCTACAAATGATGGGACGGTCCCACCTATATAGTTTAGAACCGGTGATATTTTTAATGTGTCAAAATCGGTTTTTAATAGATTTAATGAAACTCTAGTCGAAACTTCTCGCATAATTCGCATAATTTCTAGCATAATTCTAAAAAAATTTGTCGGTCGCATAATTCACATAAATTGATTTGTAAAGCGGGCAGAATTTTGGGTCTATCACAGCAGAATTGGGGATCTCTACCTAACCTAAAGTAAACTGGTAGGTGTCCACATTATTCTGATGTTATAGTGCAAAGGCTAGTTTAGCATTAGCGTTAGATGTGTATGCATAGGTGGTAAATCGCCTCCTTGATATTTTTTTATTAATCCCTAAAATAGGCTTTGAAATCTGTTTTTCAAAATTTTTTTTTTCCTGCTCATCATGTTGGTCCGTGCAAACAAAACTTCATGTTTTGATTGGTTTATATATAAAAAGTCACTTCCGGAGGTCAGATCAATTTAATTTTTCGAACATAACCCCTGCATTTTGTTAAATTCATAATATATATATATATGTATTAACCAAAAACGATAGATCGCTACGTATTGAACCGATTTTACAAACTTGGATAAACACGGTTAAACAAACTATTAGAAAAATTTTAGGCAGCAGCTTCAACCCCTATTATCTCCTGGAAAGAACCAAAAGAGAACTAGAGTTTAAACTAACAGTTTAGCCAACTAAGCTAGCTGATATAATATGGTCGACTGGCTAGTGCAGTTGAGGATTGCATTATCGTTATTATAAGTAATAAAATTTCGAAAATGTTGTGAAGACAAGAGCAAGGCTAAGATTTTGAGGAAAGTTCCGACTAAAACCATATGACTAAATACACTACAAAAGACAAACGTTCGGTCGAGAAAAAAAAAATATTTTCAAAAGAAACTTCTTCTCATGCTATAAAAAAAGGTCTCCTTGAACAAATTTATTATATGTTTCTTCGCAAAATAAACTTTAAGAAAATTTCCCTTTTAATAAAAGTTTCAGATATTTTGAAAATAAGGTTCTAAGTGAAAAGTCATGTTATTACTTTAAATAATAATACATGAATAGATTTAGATATTCGTGTCCACAGAGTACTTGGTCTAGAATGCCTAAAAGGCACTTTTGTGTTCATGACTAAGTTCATGACAATCTGTGTCTGACTTTAAATGTTTACATTTATGTGGGCGCTAGATGGGCACTTGGTGCCCATGGGCATAAAGTGTTCTCCACAGAAATGCTTGGCAATTTTAGGTAGGCACTTATAAACTTAATGCTCTGTATATTACAGTATTATCGTTAAAAATGGTTTAATATATAATTTAAAAAGTTCCGTTATTGATAAATCAAAAAACAGAACCTTTATATCATTTTATTATACCCTTGAAAACAATCATTTAAAAATTTTAAATACAGTCAATTTATCCCTAGACCGAACGTATCAACCTAACCATTAATGAACCATTAAAAAAGATATTAAAACAGCGAAACTCTATGAAGTAAAAAATAAAAGTTTTAAATTTTTTAATAAGTGTGAATTTTATGTAATCTAAGTTATATATGAAAAATTTTAAACTGGTTTGGATAGTATAACGAAAAAATGAAAAAATGAAAAGATTTAAAAATGATACACAAATTCGATTTTTTTGTATTTTTAATTGAATATATTATTTATCACCACTAAATAAAAATGTTAATCACTTTAAACCGTTATATTATAATTGTTTAAAAAAATAATATTTGATCTTGTTTTAATAATATTCAGCATCTCAATTCATATTAAGATTTTAGGCTATTCGACTATCAGATGGTTCATCTATTGAGTTTTTTGATTTTTCTACCGATCCATCTTTATATTTTTCTTCTAATACTGTGTCTACGTCATCATACTTGGCTTTTTCGTATTCCCTTTTATCAGGGTGGAATCTTAACATGAATATTTCTACTATAAGCTCGGCAAGTTTCTACAAGATGATTAATGATAAAGATATTTAATGATCTAAAAACTAAAGATGAAATTGAAAAGGAATAGAACTTACAAAAAGTGCAAAACTTGCAACTAAATTCGTAAGAAGAGCGACAAATCCGAATTGACCTATCGTTCCATGTTGCTGGAATACTAAACGAATACTGGATTATCGTAAAATGAAATTATGGAATCTTAAGTATTTAAACAAAAGTGCAAACAAGAAAGTAAAATAGACATCAAACTTACCCATGCCTATCAATAACTGTGTATGAACCATCAGTAGTATTGTATACGTTTTCTACAGCTTTGTATTCATTTCCATCAATTATTTGAGGCAAATATTTATACTCTATTTGATCTAACTAAAAGGAATAAAAATGAATCATCAATCATATCAAGCAAGTACTAAGAGTGTTTCTTTCAGATAAATTTCAAAAAAGTACCTTGAACCGAACATTTTGATACTCAATAATGATAACAATGACTATTCCAGATGACCTATATGTTTCACCTGCTGCCTTATTAGCACCAGGAGCCGTAGAGGGAGCTTTAATAGGAACGGAATATTATTAATTAAAAATTAATTAAAGAGGATATTAAACGTACAATAGAAATTATCTCAAAAAACATCTAATTTATGTCTAAGTTATTAAAAATATGCATAAAAAGATGATGGTTCATTAAGTCGGTTTAAATCTAAAAGATTGAATTGATTATTTATCAAACTAGTTTTTTTTTGTTCTTTTTTATACGTTCCAATTTTATTGTTAAAAATCGAAATTTAATAAAAGAACCTCTTTTATCTATATTTTATCCCGTTAATCTCAAAGCATCATCTTGACATCGATTAGTTTTTGAGATAATATATATTGAAAAGGAATATAGAAAATAAAGCAAATTACCATCCAAGTCTGCACCTGCAGCCGCAAGAATATCTCTAATGGTATAAATATCACCATCGGCACTGGGATTTGCTGCCGTCTGTTTAATGACCAAAACATTTGACGCTTTTTTGATAATTATATCGTTAAAAAATAATTAAAATAAAAATACATACTCTACTAGCATTCGTTACCGTTTTACAATTTTGTCCATTGGGAGAACAGAGTGCGCCATTCATCAATCCATTACGAAGTGCGATAGATGTGGAGCTTCCTCTTACAGAATGTTCAATCATTACCTTTATTCAAAATAATTCAATTTGATGAGATGTATATAATAAACACATGTATAGTATATGTATATAAGAAAACTTACAGTGTAATCTTCGATGTCAGCAATGTAAGATACTGGCATAACAGTTATATTATTTGGATTATTTTTTGTTTTAACCAAACATTGACTTGTTGGTGATGCAACATTAAAAGGATTACATCCGGGTTGATTAGGAAAATTCGTTACGCTCGCTCTTGTAGTAAAAAATGCAACACCGGCACCATCAGAAGGGAATTGTACTATGTAAATTATTACAAACGGTCAACTCAAATTATAAAAAAAAAACATATAAATATATAAATAAAAAGAATATAATTATATACTTTGATTAGGACTCCAAAAAGTGCATGGAGTTGTTCCGTTACAGTAAGAGGGTGTGACAAGATTATCTGGAGCTTGTAATGTTATTCGAACAGCACCAGGTACGGGGGGTTCCTACGTAATTTGACCAAAATTTAATATTTGTCAAATAATAATCCATTTAGTAGAAATATAACTGAGTACCTTGTTTAGATATAGAGACTTTGTAAAGATTTCAGATAAAATATAAATCGCAATTGCGACTTGAAAACATCGATATAAGATACCTAATCGAAGACTAACCTCAATAAGAATATTAGTTAATATTAGAAATGTGATAAATGATTCAAAGATATAACACATACTCTGTGACTTTGACCACTTTAAAGGTTTCGTAGCTTTTAAATAAATAAATTTGATCAATGTTGGTAGATACAATCTTAAGACACTATTAAAAATAATAAAATTCATACCCTAAGAGATTTCTTAATGTATCCGAGACAGCCATTTCTGCGGATGATTAAAGAATAAAAAAGAAGAGAGATTCTGAAAGAAAAAAATGGAAAAATAAAATAGTATATAATTATGTATATTTTTCTAGTTAGTATGACAAAGTTACGCAGATATGTAGTATGTATTTGCCTCTAAAATATGATACGTATAAACAAATCAGGTAATAATACACTAAAAAAATTTGACACACAGTTCCTTACATGATATATGGTTGATATATGAGTACAATTTATTCGCGAGCATATACTAATTAAATGATTGTATTCACACGTGCATTAGAGTCATACATACTCTTTGACTTCACAGTATATTAGTATCAGTGGCGTTTTATATAAAAGAAATTATGACGGTATAAATTTAATTTTCTAACCATTTTATAATTAACTCGTACGATTTTTTTAAACTATCTTTATTTGTTTGTGCCAAGGCTGATATTATTAAAAATAAAATTATCTGTATAAGTAAGTACTTAGTACATATATATATGAGAATTTTTATTGTTATTGAAGTATAATTATATTTTGTGGCTTTTATCTTAAAATTGGGAAATCCTACTTGTTATATTTAAAGCAACAAAAAGCATTAAACGTTACATTTATTGTCTTTTACGTGATATACATTGATCATAACCTGTTACTGTGTCACAATGGCATTACTAATTTACAAAACTAGTTAATTCGTCAGACAATAGGGGTCCATAATCAATATACATAATTAATATAAAAAACACCTTTATTGCTTTTATTGGTTGTGCCAAGTAGGCGTAGCAGCCTGTACAAATAGATTCATCCAAATTAATATATAACGATAAGTTACTGTATCATCTTAACTTTAATTACAAAAATCTATTTAACAATGCATTTAATCCTAAAACTTAATTAGAAAGAAATTATTGTTCTTAAACTTGGGCATATTCACTAGTTTACACTAGCCCGAAGTTGGCTCAGATCATTCTTTATGAATAACAGATTATAACCATACGATGATGGTACTTTACCATTAATTAATAAACATTATTAGCCGAGGAAGTTGGGTATGCCATCAGTGATGTACTAAAATTATTTAGTCAACATCATGGAAAGTGCTTTTCTCGAATATTTTCATTGGAATTACGAATTATGCGAGTTGATCTAAGGGGCTTTGGCCATACTTCTGCCATAATCTTCGTTCAGAATTTCATGCACTGCCACTTACTGTCGCTTACCGCCGCTTATTCTTGACACCTGTCCATCGGCTATTCCACTGACGATCGCTCAAGCCTTCGACGATCCATTACCGAGTTTCGTTCTTGTGTACAATTTCATTTCTTTTTTGTAAAAGTCATCTTTCTTTCGTGATTCATATATCATTGAAAAGATTAAAGATTGCGAAGACTAATATAGAATAATTAGGTAAGAATGATCGATGTAAGTCAAAATGACTTTCGGAGTAAGTATGGATCAAGAAAAGGGTCACACAATGATACAAAAATGGGCAACAACTAATACGTACATTTTAACGTTAAACAGCTCTCAAACTAATCTTGATCAGAGTAATTAAAGTGCATTCCAAATATATGGATATGTATCTAAACAGTGGTTTAATAAAATAGTGAATATACTACAAAAATCGCTTTTGAGTATATAAAATTTGAGTATATAAAATTAGCATACTATATTCATAATACAGTATATATTATATATATAATAGTATAGTTGTAAAAAATTTAATTATATGACTAGGGATATAAATTTAATTAAATTTAATCCCTAAAAACAATATATGAGACAGCATGATTTTTACGGGATTGTATGCACTACTCTCACAAAATTACGAGATCGTTTTAATGTTTAATAAAAATCAAAATTTTTACAGGACTGCGTTAACAAAAGTCAAGACTTTTTTTACAAACTTGTATGTACATACATAAAAGTCCCAGCGTTACCATCAATCGAGGTCGTCACGAGCCCGTAAATTTTTTTTGTGTCGTTCCGAGTTAGGTTAGTGCTTACTATATTGTTAGATATTAGTATCTATATTAGTAAAATCATCCAAGGAAAAATTTCGATGGAGTACTAAACATGGTTTTCTAGGGTACGTGTCATTTCACCGACAATCAATTTCATCGACAACTCATTTTAAAGACAATCAATTTACCGATAAGTTTATTTAACTGACAGCCCATTTCACCGACTAGGTTTTTTTTTTAAAGTTGCACTAACATTAACTCTAATTCTAACTGATCTTAACGAAATGACCAGTATTACTTTGTCTGTGAAATGATTGTCGGTGAAATAACTGTTAAATAGGCTGTCGGTGAAGTGATTGTCGGCAAAATGAGCACCATCCGCGTTTTCTATACAGATTCGTGAAATAACACGCATGAGCATTAATTCGAACTATGGTCTGAATCAAGCTTAATTTTGGCCAAACTCTTGCGCATTATTTCGCGAAATACGGTAAACGATTTTTGACAAAACAAACGTATGTTTTGAATTTTCCTTATCGTGCTACATTACACCTTATCTTGAAATCTGATATATTTGCGCTACAAAAAATCTTACGTATCCGTAGAATTTTGGTGACGATACTCAAGAGCACAGCCATGATATTCCGACCTTATAAATTCTCTGGAAAATTGAACCAAAAAAATTTTTTTATTAATCCTTTATTATTTTGGATTATTATTATTATTATTATTAGAAGGGAAAGCTTTCTTAATTGCTTTCTAAGAGAAGAAATCACTACTATTAGACCAGAATAAATAGTTAACATATTCTAAACAGTGATACCGAAAAATTAATTGCATTTCAATTTAGAATAATTGCAATTTTTTACCTTTACTATAAATTTCGCGATAATGTAAAATTTTAAGAAATGAAAAATTGATTACATTTACAGAATTACATTGTCATTAAATGTAAACGTATCTAAATGGTTCATTAAATTTGTATAACCCATTTCTTCTTTTGATTATCAGCTGTTCATCATTTTAAGGCTTTTTTTTGAATTTCATCATTTGGAGATCTAAAAAGAGCATCCTTTTGATTATCAGCTGTAATCGAAAGAACATAAACTACACTAATGCCGCCGTCATTTGAAGGTCTAAAAAAAGCATCCTTTTGATTATTGGCAATTATCTGGAGGAATATAACTTACGCTAATGTCTGTCGTTATTTGAATGTCTAAAAAAAGGCATCCATGTAGCATTTGTTTGGAAGTTTGGGCTTCATTGGAACCGATTAAAAAAAGAAGATTTAGAATGCTATACCATATACATGTCTTTGTAAAGGAATATTCTTATACTTTACACAATTTATAAATCTTGTAAGTTAATTCAAAAAGTGATTATAATTTTTGATGTCAAATATCAGCAAATATACTCATACTAGGGTTCAGCATGCCTGACATGTGCCCTCATCCAATGAAGAAATTTAAGACACCAGGTACGGGCATAGTACTCAGTGCTTATCTAAAAATGCCAGACTCCTTTTAGGCATTTGCACAAAGCATAACATCGGCACTAATGCCCTGGCATAAGTCAATGTATCTGGCATGATAGTTTACTACATTTCAATTAATACATAAATCAAATCATAGTTTAATAAATTAACAAGATTTGCCCAACACGTAAGGTGCAAAGGAACAGACAGGCACTGGACTAGGCACAGCACGAGGCACTAATGCTCGGCATAGTGCCTCATATGCCAGCATGTCATTGTAAAACTCTAACTCATAACTATGTCTATTTTATAAAGTCATTAAATTTTGCAAACAACTGCAAAAATTGCAATTAATTGACTCTCTATGGCTACGCCACCAAATAATTAATTACCTCAATAATTAATTAATTGCCTCAATCAATAATTCGATAGGCCCTGATTCTAAAGAAAAACTTGATTACTAAATAATAATCTCGAACAGATTTAAATGATGAATTGAATTAAAACACCGAATATACAAATCTACACATTATAAACTCAATAATATAAATTCAAAATTTCATAATTCGTTATGTCCAAAGAAGCCTGTTGTAGTAAGCTTTTTCTATAATTGGAGAATCTGCCTTTATTCATGAACCAAATTAACACAAATAAATAATTAAAACGAAGCTACAAAATATTGTAGAGTTCTAAAAATATATTTTCATGCTTGAAGTAGTTGAAACTGCCTAAAATTAACTAACGTGTGCAAGGAAGATATAATTTCAAGGGTTAATTTTAGTTAGTGTACTAAATTGGTAACTTCAAGCACTACCAGGTTTGCCGCTCAGATCTCCTGAACTATGAATCAAGATTAGGTGTAATGTAACATGATCAGGAAGATTCAAACCAAACTTTCGTTCAGCCAAAAAATACTTATGACTAGGAATGATCAAATCGAGAATTTTTTGTATCCTGTAGCATTGCTGTCAGAATTATATTAGCTAGCCTGAATTTTAAAAATCAACTGTGTAGTCTTTCAAAAGTTCTGTGCAGCCTGCGCAGGCTGTAATTATTAGGAGACGGATTTATTGGAAACACGAAGGATCCTCTTTCTTATGGCGCAAAGCCTTTATTATATACTGTCTAATTACATAGACTCTTAAAGCTATTAAATGTATTACTTGTGATTTATCCCTTTAACTTATTATATCACTTAAAACCCTTAATCCCTATAAAACCCACAAATTACCGTTTTCCCTTATTACATTTATAACCGAAACGATGACTTTTTAATACCGGGAAATCAATTTTAGGCAAGTGATCAACATAACTGTTAAATAGCTACCGCAACAAATTGTCCCGGTAGATCTTCGATTTTGATTGGCTAACGGCCGTGGATCTGAAAAATATTGGCCCGCATTACATAATTGGTTACTAATTTCTGGCCGGAATTAACTTTTTAACTTTATTAAATAAATAGGCAGCACAATGGTAAAATCAACCCGGGAATAGGGTTGTAAAATTACCGTCATTTTGTGTAATTTTGCGTAATTTTCGGTAAGTTTCTGAAATTAAAATTTCATGTAATTTT